TGTAATTTCAGCCTAATGACAGGTAACTGTGAACCTCATTTGGGAAACTGAGGCCCCAGAGCTTCAGAGACTCGGCCTGATCACACAGCTGTTGAGACCCTCAGTCTAAGGCAGAGCTGCTATCAAAGCCATGTGTGTCCTACTCTGTGGTCTCCCTCCTGTCTGCCGACCCCAAGTTATGCTGTGGTCCCTACCCGGGTTTCCAAATTAGGATGTCATCAAAATTTAGAGATTTAAGAGACCTTAAAGATGATCTGAATCAGAAGCCTTAAAAGGGCAAAACAGAGCCCGAGAGATTTCAGTAATTCTCCCAGCTACATCCATTTCAGGCCAGAAGCCAGGAGTTTGATTCCTGTGCTGTGGCTCACTTCAGCTGCATTCACGGCACCATTAGGGGGTATTTCCAATTACTCCTTTCATTAAAACCCACTACTCTATCATTAGGCCTTTAGTCCTAACTAGTTTGTAACTACTTCTAGATCAAAAATTACTAAACCAACAGAGTATTTTGGCTTCAAAATACATAATGCAGTACTTCTTTTCAATAGGCAACCATAGTTTTCCAGCTAAAAATCAACGTAAAATTTCCATGCACTCTTTGACTTTAGGGAATATGAGTAACGTGAGATGACTGTTTGCACTATTTTGGAGTTTTTCTTTAGGTGATTTGTATTAAAAAGGTAGAAATAATCATTTTTCGTCGCCCTGTAGCTGCCTGGATTTCTCCCACAATATCTGTCTTAGGAGAATGCTGATGGTCAGATTAAACTCTCTTAATACAATGGCCAAAATGAAGGCGGCAGATACAGCCTCCAGTATCATATTCTAAATTCTCTTTTCTAGCTCTTAATAATTTCCCCTAGAGTATAGATTTGTAATAAAGCAAATATACATGCTCTCCAGAAATGTGTCCATACGGCAGACCAAACTGATGTTATCTCAGTAGGTTAACAGTTTCCCACCAAAACTATTTTTCTTTTCTTCATTCGTTCTTTCGGTGACTCGAGGCCCCTACTCCCTGTATATACATCTGTAGGCACAAATGCTTATGACTAAGGTGTAAGGGGCAAAGGTTCTTCTGAGAGTTTATATAATTATACTTTTGTAGACTCCTGAGGGAGTTAGATAAGAGATATGAAGTATATACTTGGAGCACAAAAAGAACCAGTTCATCCATCGCCTGATGATTGGCTGCATATCCTAAATCAACAATTATCAGTTACTATGGTTTTTAAAAGGCAGATCTTCTTGATATTAACGATATAGGTATAATGTCTGTTGATTTCTTTGATTTAAAGAGAGACCTGGGTACAGTGATAGAACTTCTTTTCCAAGCAAAATAATTCACATTTTTTGGAGCTATGATATCATATATTGCCCCAAGATTTACGGGAGGTGCAGCATTTCCATTTAGCATTTTCGTATGTTCCGGTAATGAGATGGTTTACTTCAGTTCCGGTGCATTACTGTCTTGCAGCACCATTTATATTCCTTATAAGAGAGGGCCCCAAAAAGCCAAGCCTAGACAATAATATCCTGAATTGCACCAGCACAATTTAATACAGTACCGTTACGTTTAAAACATTTACACAGACAGTTGCAAATCTACTTATTTTAAGCACAATTTATATAATACTTTGACAGACAAAAATATATGTTTAGAACTATTATATGTATCTGTCCAGTAGCAAACTTACAATAAATTATACATTATACCAGCGTAAACTTTCTTAAAGACTAAAAAGAAAAAGCCGCATTTATGTTTAAAATACAGGTGCTACTTCATTATCTCCAAATAAAACAAGCTAACAGCCATTACATTAGATTCACTTATTTCAAGCTTACAGTTATTTGATAGTCACATCAAATTCACTACTTATAAGAGTAGCAGTGAAGTTGGATGTTAACATGGAGTGTTTGAAAGTTTGTTCCTAACACTTCAGTCCGGCTACAAGCTGGATATTTTGAAAAGCATGTGTGAAAAGAAACACTAAAATGACACAAGAAACATGTCACACTTATTGTAAAAGTATGAAAATAAAATATGTGTTTTAGGGGCTTCCCTGGTGGCGCAGTGGTTGAGAGTCCGCCTGCCAATGCGGGGGACACGGGTTCGTGCCCCGGTCCGGGAAGATCCCACATGCCGCGGAGCGGCTGGGCCCGTGAGCCATGGCCGCTGAGCCTGCGCGTCCGGAGCCTGTGCTCCGCAACGGGAGAGGCCACGGCCCGCGTACCGAAAACAAACAAACAAACAAACAAAATGTGTTTTCTTCTAACGCTTTATCCACAGGTATTGCCTCCAAAGGTTAATACACCCAGTGTCTGAGATGTTGCTGTTTTATTTTCATTGAGAACGGGTTTTTGAAAATTAGGCCCACTGAGGAAAGACAAAAGACTACAAAGCCGTGCGCATTACCCGTGATGTCGAGACGGAGCAAATGGTGAGCGTAAAGCGTTGTCTACCACGTTTCACAGTTTTGTTCCTTCCTTAGAAACTGGGGGGGTTTGTGTGTAAATGATCCTAAATAAAGACCCTACGACTGTTGTTTCATTCCTTTTGATCTTCAACTTTTTTTTTGTCCTTTTAAAAGAATCATCTTGCTAATATTTAGCCATTTACTGGTGTATTTTACCCTAACCTAGTTTTTTTTTGTATATCTAGTTTGAGAGTAGGAAAGAAAGAGTAAGTTAAATAAACACAGAACATTACTTATTAGCTTAAATTATTTAAGTTTTCTAGTTTTTAATATCTTGCACAAGGTAAATGCTTTTCCCCCTTTATCTTTCTACTATTACAAAATGAATGGAATGGAAGAAATTTTCACTATTAGTATTAATTCTTTTTCACTGGATTTAAATATGGTCATTTGGACAACTGTTGCCCAACAAAATTGTAAAATATAATATCGGTAGAGACCATACTTCCTGTTTCACTCTACTATAACATGGGTGATGTGTTTCTATGGAAGCATGTGCCTAAAGGGGTTGAAACAAAAATTTATGATGGAGTGGGTGAAAATAATTATTCAGGTAGAGTGCTGGAAAGAGGCACATATGAAGTATCACACTTGCCAGGAGCTGCAGTCCGCATCAATTAACTACCTTCACCTGTCAAAAATTTCCACCTTTGTAGTTTTTAAAAAATGTGTTTCCTGCCCCTGTTTCTTCTCTCAACCCATGTCCGAGAAACTTGGGACTCCCACACTTACTGGTTCCAAAATTGTGCTCCTGTCCAAGCACTCCATTCTGAGCAAAGAGATGGGTACAAAAAAATTCCCTTTTCATTTAGGTTACAGACAATGTTTTATAAAGATTCTGAATGCAATGTCACATTTACCATCAAGCTTGGATAAAGCATTAAAAATATGGGAATGACAACATATAAAATTATTTAATTTCACATTTTAAAAATTACCCTGTAAATTTAATTCATGTTTAATAACAAAGGAGAGTATTATTTGATGCTTTTGGACAATTGCAATAAAAAAAGGAATTCTAGCAAACAGTTGCAATAAAAGTTTTGGACAATTGCAATAAAAAAAGGAATTCTAGCAAACATGACTTTTATACTTAATGTCGAACACTGAATTTTCACTTTGTCTATGAATCACAAAAAAAGAAATATTTTTTGGAAAAAGTGCTTTAGTTTGAATAATTCAGGCTGCCTTTCTTTAACTGGATCAAATGCTTAGATAATTTTTCCGCTGATCAGCTCACTCTGCTCTTGTAGATGCAGCTCCAGTTATTTCTATAATGTGACTGATGGGAAATCATTTAAAATTCGAAAATGGATACAAACCATTACATATAAATATACACATATTTTTTTTAACTCCAGAAAAGGAGTAAAATAATATTTAATGACCAACCTCATGAAAGTTATGTAGACACCAAATGTTAAAATTAAGTCCTTCTTCCCTTTAGGACTTAATTTTACTTTCTCCTTTCTTCCGCACTTTAAAATTCACGATATACGATTTGTAGTGGTGATCTGTCCAGTACCTAAGACTGGTTTTTGCAAAAAAGAGCCACAGAGTAGCTCTCTTGACACTAAATCGTCCTCATTAACTAACATTCAAAATCGAGTGGTTTCGTTTTTCTAATCTTACTACTATCAGGAGGTGTGGTTTGCCTCTCACTAAGCAATTTAAGGCGTGTAGCTATCTCACCTTACAAAGGGCTCAATTTCACTTCCAATACTAATACATAGCAAGTCAACAGATTACTTCTTTTCTCATGAAGCAAAATTTTCTAAACTTCAGATGAAGGTAAAAGTTCACTGTTGTTCCTGTCACTTTCTACTTAGTGGCCTTCTTGATTTATTGCTGTAAGGTTGCCTAATAATCACGCCTTTCTCTCTGTAGGTACTTTCCCCAATGCCTATGGTAGTTGTATGGTAGTTTTAGACACACCCAAAGGAACCAGGATCCTCTATCGGGACGGAATCTACTTTCCTATCATCTTGCATGTCAAGAAATGCCACTACACAATATTTTTTTGTGTGTCTGCTTTGCCTGCACTCCGAATAATACATACCACTACTAAAAGAAAGACAAATCGCGTATTCAGCGAACGTTATACTTAAGACCACGAAGGAGGGGTTACTCCTCACGCCAGGGAGCCAGCTGATTAAGTCACTGCACCACTCACTGGAGCGATGGGGTTTATTCTCACAACTTCAGTGTGAGAGTCAAACTAGACCCACAGGGCGTTCTCAAACAAGGTCGCAATCAGGGCTCCCCAGTCTCCTTGGCTTTCTCACATCTACTTCCTTTTTCCATAAGAAAGGTGAACACTCTTTTTGGCTCTCCATTCTTTGAGTGGGGTTTTATTCATGTCTGAATACTTAACAAAACCACTGAGAGTCGAAATCAAATGAGGATGAGATGTGTCCACGAGGGAGAGAGAGATGCTGCTTCAGGGGTGCTTCCTTCTGGCTTGTCTTGGATGTGCAATTACACTATTATATGGAGTTTTGTCCTCCTGAACGATATCTTTAAAATATATTTTATATGCCGCAAACCACCCTTCCGGGACTAGCCTGCTATAGAGCTCCGTCTAGGAAAGCAGTGAGGATGTGTTTATTGTAAATTATCTTCAGTCCCAGACCCCTCTGGGCTGGAATCCATGTGGAGGAGGGCCTCCTGATTGGTGAAAGTCGAGCTGAGAGCTATGCTCTGCCGAGGCTTCACAGGTGCAAGTTCATCTAGCTTAATATTTTCATTTCTGACCAGAATTGTCCTATCCATGTTTTCTTCACTGTGCCTTGCAACGACAGCATCAAATACATCTAATTTTGGTGGCAAGGTTCCACTTTCAAATAGGTATTTGGCTAAATAAGAGATGCAAATGTTGGATAAGAACGAGGTCACCATGGCAAGGGTCTTAAATGGGAATCTCTGATTATATATGCCACTTTTATCAATGTAATAACCCGGGTAAAAGATCAAGGGCTGCAGGTTCAGGTATGGCTCCCCGCCGGTTACTCTCAGGAAAAGGCCAGAAATGTAACCTGCCACGGCGCCATACGTGTTGGTCCCCTTGATGAATAGCACGCAGAGCAGCTGCGGGAAGATGATGATGTACACGAGGTCGGAGCTGAGGTACCAGAGCCCGTACACCGTCTTCGTCAGCAAGGCCATGGTCATTGCGGAAGCTCCGAACACGAACACCGTGATGCGCATGACCCAGACGAGCTCCTTGTCGGAAGCCTGCAAGAAATCGACATCGAGTCAGTTTTTCTCAGGACGTGCTGGCTCCTCTAGGAGGAGAATGAGATGCCTTCCTGTGTTTTAAAGCTGCTCTAAAGAATCCCCCTGGTTCAAAAGGCTCAGTCTATGGGTAAAACCAGCCGAAACCACAGCATGTGAAGCGAGCAGTCTAGGCAGCCTCCCCGGGCGACCTTGCGAGAGGCTTCGCAGTAAGCAGAGCCCACTGGCTGAATGTCAGAGGGAGACGTGAGATGTGCGCTGGGTCCTCGTAGGGGACGGATAACGCAAGGGAGGATTTCTTTACTTTCCACGTTAAGGAATAGTTTTTCATGTGGCAGTGAGAGGTTGTGGCCTATCTGTCTTCCTCTCTTCCTGGAGGGTAACCGCCTTAAAAAACAAGTGGGGCCATTTTGTTAACTATGACCTAGAAAACCTAGAGAAAGGCAAGCCTGAGTCAAGGAAGAAGGTGGAGGGGGGCTCTGGGCCCCTCCGTGAACACGATCGTGCTGCTCTGCGCCCTGGCATTCAATAAGGAAAATCAAACTGAGACGCTGTTTTCTGACAAAGGAGGACTTGGGGTTCAAGTGAAGAGCAGACAGGTGTGAGACCAGCACCCATGAAATAATTACTCATTATCTTCTGCTCTGCCAGGGTTCCTGAATTTCTTATCGTATTTAGTTAAACTCAGAGTTTTTCTAAGTTATTTTAGGTTTCATTGCTCGTTCATCAGAAAGAGAAGACGTTTAAATTATTGCAATATGACTGTACCTCTTGGGAAATAGTTATATTGATTAGTGCCCTTCAGTATTAGCGTGAATGACAACATGCATTAAAAACCTCATATACAGCATGAATAAAGCGCTGAATCAAAGTAGGGTCAGATTTTCATGCAGACTATTAATAAGTATAGAGAAACACCTACATAGTAACTGCAAGGATGAGAACAAGAGCAATAGCGTTATGTTGAAAAAACTGTTCTTACTACCGCAAAAAAAAAAAAAAAAAAAAAAGAGAAAAGCAGAAACTGTTCTTACATTTTGTCTGAAGGAAAGCTGGTAGATGTTGCGAGCAAACATCGAACTTGCTGACAAGATGGAAGAATCTGCTGATGACATGACAGCGGCAGAAACGGCTCCAAGACCAAAGTAAGAAATGTACACGGGGCAGAGGTACTTCAGGACAATCGGCAAGATCATGTCTGACTGTTGGTTGTCCTTGGGGTCGAGAGGCCCGTATCCGGTCTGGCTCCAGTCTGTGGATAGAAACAACAAACACAACAACCAAAGAGCCATCCATCCATCCATCCATCCATCCATCCATCCATCTGGGGTCATCCTATTTACTAGGTAGCTTTCAAAATAAAATCAGAACCTATAAACTGGTCTAATCAATGGGAAATCTAATTAGTCTAACAGGGCATGTTAGTTTAATTAGGTGGGAAGTCCATGTACTGGTCCAGTGAAATTGCCTCATATATTCCAGCTGCTAATGGGTTACAGTTAGTCTTATGCACAAGATCTGAACAGAATATGGTGGTGTGAAATATATATATATAATTATATATTTAATATATATTTCTCATCGTCAATGTTACAGTGGTGTCTGAAATATAAGACAATTGGCTGACATATTACAAAGGTAGATACATGAACAGATGAGGAACAATTGACTGTGTGGGGGAGGGAGGGCAGCTGAGGGGTAACTGGTGACTTGGATGAAGCCTGAGTGAGTCAGTCAGTGAAGCTGCAGGAGATTTACCTGTTGATGCGCCAATGGCTCCAATGAGTATGGCTGGCAGAGCCATCACCATGCACCCAAAAGCTGCCAGGAAGGACAGCACTTGAGCGTAGGTGGCCGAGGATGAAGACAGGACCCTCTGGAAGTAGGCTTGCCACGGGATTCCACCCAGCATCTGTGTGGGAACCACGGGGACTCAAAATGAATTGGAGGCAAATAGCATCTATTAGGTATTTTTAAAATGAGAATTTTTTTTTTAACAATCACATTCAGAATGGTCACATGTACGGCTCTGAAGGGTAGAATATGGTCCTACATGCCGCTTGTCTACACTGCTGTCACTAAGTCATCGTCATAGGTTCAGTTGTGCCGAATTTCTCAAGTTCTTTTCTCTCATAATTATTTATGCACAATATTTTCTTTTGCTTGATTTACCTACTTTAAGCTGCATTACACACAACTACCCAGAAACCTTCAATTTGTTCTTATCTGGAAGTTTTAACAGCCACAAAATTATCTCAAAAAATTAAGATTCTGAAACCATGAAGTTTCATTCGATTCAAAACACCCAGTGAATATTTCTGGATTCCAGTCACGTGCCAGGCAATGTAATGGCTGTCAGAGCCCAGAGATGAGTGAAAAATTCCTGCTCTTGAGACCACTGTCCACTGGGAGGGTCCATGCGTTATGGTGTTTTCTAGACGGGGGTGTGCAGAGGCTCAAGACAATATAGAGCATCAAGAAGATACTAGAATTTCTCTTTATATTCATTTCTACCTCATACCTAAATATTGTTGTTTTATTAAATGATTTCCACAATGTGCTAGTACAGTACATATAAGTAGTTTATAATTCCTATCCCTACCTTGGGGGTGTGCTTAACATTCTTATTGAGGATATACAGTAAAAAAGTTTGGAGACACTGAACTTGCATGTAATTTGTTGATGCTCTAAAGAGGTACATATGGGAACAATAATGAGAAACAATCATCTGGGGGTAACGGAGGGGAAAGGTGGGAGGAAGACAGAGGCATGGTAACCATTACAGAAAGAGCATTTGAGTCCCCTTAAGTATCAAGAGGGTGTCACTAGGTGGAGATGGAGAGGGAGGAGAGTTCTTGGGAAAGAACCCAATATGAAAAAGAAAAAGAAAAAAACAAAGAGGCAGCCATTAGACCACCGTGTGTTTGGTATGGGTAAAGGTCAGGGTGTGTGTGGGTGGTGAGAGAGGAGGCTGGAGCATCCTCTCACTGGCGTAGAGTCAGTGTTCAGTAAATATTTATCATGTGAGTGAGTGAATTGAGGAGGGAACTTCCCACATCACAATGTATTGAAGTTGCTTCTTTGATTGTCTGTCTCTCACTGGCTCCGAGTTCTGGGATATCTGTCTTGTTTATTATTGTCACATCTGTGCCGATCACATATTGGCTCCAGAACAATTTCCTTCTTATAAAAGCCATACAAGCTCAAATGCAGAACAAACAAACAAACAAAACAAAACAAAGGCAAAAGAAGAAATTCTAAACTTCATCATCCCATGCCTCAAATCTATATGCTTCCAAAACTTTTCCTTTTGTTTTGCAGCCTGTAAATCAGTATATCATTGACATCTTCCATGTCGATGAATATTTCGTCAATAATTTCAATGTCTATGTGAATTGATATATCATAATTTACATACCTGTGTCTATGGACATTTAGGTCATCCAGGTTTGTAAGTCAGGTAAAATCTGGCCTCCACTGACAAACAGGAGCTCTGATGGAAAGGTAGAAATGGGCTTGGAGGGGTGGGATGTGGGTGGGCTGCCAGCGGGGAGACCAGTGAGGGGCTGTCACAATAGGGCCAGGTGATCCAGGAGTTTGATCTAGCGCTAATATAGGGACGGGGGAAGTTTAGGGTGGGACGGGCAGATGCCTCTAGATTACCATCAGCCGGACTTGACAAGTCATTTCCATGGCAACTGGAAGATCAGAGACCCTTGGTGAAATGTTTCAAGGCTCGCATCTACAGTTTATTTATTCAGTCAGTCATTCCGCATCTATTATTTCATTTCAATTTATCTTACAATTTGAAGGATGAACATGACTTAGTCATACAATTTTTTTGAGTTGGGAGAAACTGTAGCAATCATTGGATATAATGCCTTATCTTGAAGATGAGTAAATCCGAGGACTAAAGTGTGGTGTAGGAGAAAGGACTTTGGGGTCTTGGTTCTCTGTTTCAATCTGTCACTCAGACAATGGTGTGACTGATAATCAAAAAATTGCCTAGTTTTTCTAAGTCTCATCATCTCTCCCATATAACCATAAAATACACCAGCCATGAAGGTAAAAGTATACATACATATAATATTTAATCGCCTTCTCCATTCGATTCATAATTGTAAACCATGCCCGAAAAATTTCAGCCAAATGCATTTCTTAACAATCGTTGGGGAAAAAGCCCTCCTCCCCGCCACTGGAAACATTAGTTTACATGTTTTCCTGTCTTCTTACCAGTAAGTTCTTCATGGGGGCAGACACACCTACTTTCAGTGTTAAAATTTAACAAAATGCCACAGACACAGAATGAAATCACAAAATATTGTGAATCTTCTAAAAAGGGAACAAACGTAAACAATTTCCCCTTAATTTGATAACAATTAATCTATTGCTTACTTTGAAATCAAATACATTGTTTTTTTTTTTAAATACATAACCCCTCTAGCAAAATCACAGAGTCACCAAATCTCTGAGGGAGAGGTTCTCTGGTACTCCCTCCCCCTCAGTCTGTGATCTGCCTTGATTTCTTCCATGCCCACCCCTCAAGGCCACCACCTTCACCCACAGGTTCTGCACATTCCCAGCTGCCTGACCTCCCAGCCTTCTTTCTGGGCATCTGTCCTGGGTGACACCTCCCTTCCCTACGTATCTCATGCACTTAAGGCCTTATGACACCACAAATTTAATTAGAGACTGAATGAGTTACTTATTTCAGAAGAAGTTGGATTTTAATGCCTTAATCCAAGATACAAAATAGAATTTTTAGATGGTGTGGCTCTCAGATTGGGGGAGGTATCCGGCAGTAGGGCGTGGTGTTCAGCACAAGTGTGGGCACACCACACATAGCCCCAGGGAAGTGATCGCTTTGACACTTGTCAGTGCCCCCATCCTCCTTCCAGCAGGAAGCAGTCAACCCAGAAACGGACAGGAGCGCGCATTTTAGTGTTACATATAAACACTAAAGTCTTGGAAGTGCGTTTGACTTTAGGACAAGTGAGAGTGCATTCCTCGGGTAAGAGCATCACTTACCAACAACAGAAAGCTATCGAGCCACGTGTAGACTTCAAACGGCTCAATGGTCCCCAGCCAGGGCTTCTGGTACTTGGTGTGCACGGCCGTGAACCCGATGTCAGCAACCGCAGAATGTGACAGAGCGAAGGGGACGCTGATCCACTGCAACCAGAGCGCGGGAGAGCGTTAGGCCGTGTGACTGTCTGGGACGTGCAAGATTTAGTTTATTAGTTTTTTCTCGTAGATGGCACAGCTCAGTGTTCCTCGTGTTCAGGGAAGAACCATGTTCTCTGTGGGACACCGAGAAACACTGACTTAGGAGAGTTAGAGGAGCACATAACCTCTGTGCTAACGATGCCATTTCACATTAGCTACAGAGCAGCCACCAGAGACCTTTGGGAAGAAAACGCTGAATTTGAGAACTTGACATGTTTATACATAAACATTTTGTGTTTTCTTAGAATTGGAAGAAGATATCCATTCCTTAAAGTGACCGAGAAGATTTGATTGAAAAGAATTTCTATGTCCCATGAGCAGTTTCATGGATTAACCAAAACTAATATAAGGAAGGGTTAAGAGACAAATACAGATTAGTGTCAAGATTTAAATTTTAACTCTGAGGGAAGTTATTCAAGGGAGATCCCACATGTGTTTCCATCAAGTGGAGGCATGAAGGAGAGGAAGTCCTAGACCTTACTAAGACTTAACTGAGGGCACTTTTCTGTCAAAATCTCACAATGTGACTAGAGGTTTTTCATCCAGTTGATCCACAGAGAAATGAAAAATTGCCAATAGTATACGACTTACTGTGTATTACTCATGATGGGAAAATAGCATTTCTGTTAATTTTTGCTGAGGTAGTATAAAATACCACATTATCTTTCACAAAAGGAGAAAGGAAGGAAAGAAGGAAGAAAAGGGAGAGAGAAGGAAAGGAAGAAGGGAAGGACGGAAGAAGGAAAGTCTGTGAACGGCCCCACTTACCAGTCCCACGAAAATGCAGAAGAGCTGAACGACATCTGTGTAGGCCACGGAGTAGAGCCCGCCCACCAGGGTGTACAGCGTGGCGATAAGGGCGGAGACGATGACGGACACGCGCACATCGGCGCTAATGATCACGCTGATAGTGGCTCCTGGAGGGATTGGATGAGAACAGCCCAGGTGAAGTCTCACATTCAAATTCTTCCATCTCAGTAAACGGAATATGCACACGCATATCTGCATTTACATACATACATATACATACATACACACACACGTATATACATATATATATGCATATGTTTAAAAACCTTCTTTCTTTCTGAAATTAGTGCTTTGCTCACTTATTTGTGTGGGGACACCTGAAATTGACGATTTGATTACAGATCCATGACACATACTACACTGAACACTACTAGAAGATCCTGCAGCAATGCCACCAACTACCTGAAACTCTGACTCTGTTGAACATATGCAGTATATTTACTCACATCCATGAGAAAAATAAGGCTTTATGACAAGCATAACCACCCATCCCCACAGTTCACAATCAGCATTCATTTGCTCTTTTGCGTTAACTCTGACCTCAGCCAGCTTTTACTAGATGACACATGGTAAGAGGTACCAAGGCTTGAAACAAACTTGTAGGAGAAAATAATAAAATTGGTAACTTGTTCCTTCCAACTTTTTCAACTTTGGGAAGGACGACTTATTTTATTTGTTTGCCAGAGAATTCCAGTCTTGTCTCTAGGACGCCAGTGCGCTGAAGAGCTGTAGATTTTAGCATCATGTTTTAAAGTAATTTTCATCATCAAAATTGTAACCCTGCCTTAGAAGTCAATCTATGCTTTTCTGACTTTCTGACTTTGTTTACTATGTTTGTTGGTGTCTGTATTTCCAATAGAATGTTATGGTGTGGACAGCTGGACCACTGCAGTTCTTGGACCACCAGTTCAGAATTCACTTGCTGCCCTACACACCCTTTCCCTGTTCTTTTCAAAAGTGGTATAGTTTATATTTCGTATTATTAAACGCAGCAATGATATTCCTGCCACATTAACATACATGCAACAAATCTGTGATTTCTTTGAATCATTACTTGCAATCTTGCATTCTACTATCGCTTCTCAATGGCGCGCTAATAGCATAGGCAGCCCACCCGAGATGAAAAATCCATTATCTAAAGAGCAGTATATTTTGATCTAAGATAACAATGCAAAATATTTTTCAAGAAATTTTTTCTTAGTGCTTTGGCTTTGGTATCAAAATTGAATTACCTTCTTGCATAAAAACTGGTTGAGGAAAGGAAATGCCTAGTAAGGAATTGGGAGAGGAAGACAAGGGAAAGTGGTCAGTTATTTGCAAGTGACTTTGGGTAACTGACTGAATTACTGTTGTATATGGACATTTAACAAGTTATTGTTTTTTTCTCCTGAGATGATTTACTACATGTTGAAACTTCAGTCACAATTCTTTGTCATTCATCTTTGGTCTAGTTCTCTACTTTAAGAACAACATTTTAGAGTCATACCCCATGAATTATGAAAAGTCCAATCATTACCCAACCTCTTTTGAATGCTGTTTAATTTCCCACCCTTTTGTGAAACTTCTATTAATCCTACACGTAGGGAGGCTGTATATTATAGAAGAAAGATCACTAGACAGGGAGCGGAAAGATTTAGGGTCCTAGTAAATGCTGCCATTTGGCTGTAACTCAGTGGTTTTAAAGAAGTCACCTACTTTCGTCCCACTATTAAGGTTGGGATGAATCTTTTCTCTAAATATTTTCTAAATCACCCCATCATTTGTCGTGAGTAAAATCAAAGTTATACTTCCAGCTCTGTTGTGAAATATTAATTAACTCATGCAGCCATAAAACTAAATATACTGCAAATAAAGTTATAAAAATTATCTGAATTGAGCCATTAAAAGTGTAAATGTACATTTCTTTAAGAAGCTGTAAGGGTGTTGTCTGTTTATACCAAGAAGGTAGTTGAAGATACTCCTAAGCTTTAGTGATGAGCTATGCTCATTCATACATATTCACAGTAAGGTGGTGAAAGATCTCGTCCCAAGTTATTTCTAATAAACACTAACTTTGAGTTACGTCCAACTATTATTTTTGAAGAAAATAGAGGTGTTAATTTAAAATTCACACACATTCTCTTTACCAGAGCACATATTTCAAGAATAGCAGTAATATTTCATAAATGTTGTTTGACATGTGTGTGTGGACAGACATTAATATATTTTACGTATGTGTTGACAGGCACACACAGATGTAGACACATGTATTTACAAAAATAACTGATTGCAGCAAGGTTGAGTTTAGCTATTAAATTTCCAGAATACTTTAGAAATAATAGATTATTCATTCTGTTCTCCCTTCAGGGCTCTGTTATATAAGTTGATCTTTATTCCGTGAGAGTGAACATTTTGTATCCTGTCTAGAATAGTCTAGAGAGACAGGAATGAAAAGTGGTGTAAACTAATATCTGATATTACAGAGACCAGATCTGATGATAATACTGAGACCAGAAGACTAGCTTGTAGTCTGATATGCAACAGAGAAGGAAATTCATCTTATCTGACTTTTGTTTTGTCCACTTAAAGTTTGACTGTAGACATAAGCCCATTGTTTCCATTTGTAAGAGGAGATGGAGAGTAACACAGCGTGTTCTGGGTATCACACATACACACGGCTCACTGAGGAAGGACAAGGAACGTCCAGCTCTGCTGGTCTTCAGGAAGGAACTCAACACTCAGTAGGACGGTGTAGATTTCTCCTTGATGAACAGGGAGGGTACTGAACCTGAAGATCTCCCACTGAAATCTCTCATTTTCTAGGTCGTATCAGTGGGCTGAGAATCCAAGGACCAAAGACAGGCTGTCCTCAGCACTGATGGATCTTGATAGTAAGTTAGACCCCAAAGAGTCTAAGTCCATTTTCCAAATCCCTGAATATGTCTACAACCCAACAGTCTAAGATGTAATGGGATTACACTGAGAAAGGAAGGATTGTTGTTTTCCTTTTTCTCTTTTGAAGAACATGTAGCTATAGGTGATTCATTCATTCATTCATTTGTGATAGGACTGTAAGTGTTAATAAGACACAGGTCCTGCCTTCAAGAAATTGATAGTTCCTTTTGTGAGATTGGAAATTGGGAAATAGATAAATAGGCACGTAATCATACAAAGTGGTAAATTCAATGGAAACAGAATTCCTGGTGCCTCAGGAAGCCCATAGGAAAGGCATCCAGCAGGTTCAAGATGACTGCCCTGAGGAAGTGACATCTCTAGCAGATCTGAAGAAACTACCTGGTTGGCTAGAAAGGAAAGAGGGGCGTAAGTCCTAAGCAGAGGGCAGTGTGCTTGCAAAGGGTCAGAACTGCCATTCTGGAGGAAGGGAGAAGGAAAAGCCCAAGTTGTAAGAAGCCTTCCTAGCCTGGTTCAAAGACCTGGTTTTAAGCAGGAAAGGGATGTGATCAGATTGGGTCTTATGGGAGAAAAGCAGGGGGGTGGTGGCATTAATCCAGGTGCTGGAGGTTGGGGGTGGCCTGGCCTGTGGCTGAAGAAAGTAAAGCTGTGTATCTGATGCTCATTCAACCAGAGATGCGCACAGAACGACGTTCTTTGGTCCTTACCTAAGGCAGAGAAAATGGCCGCAGCCCAGAACATTTCCCCCATCAGTGCGGGAATGAACAGGAGCCCTCCCATGCGCTTTCCATAGATCTGCTGAAAGGGGTCTAACATGGTCACATATCCCTTGGAACGCATGGGTTTGGCAAAGAACAGACCACCTAAAGGAAATTAAAGCAAGCGTTAATGAGAAAGTGAAAAATCCCTAATACAATAGTCTTTGCCAACCTTTTACTATATATAATTTCTGAAGGGAAATGAATTTTTTAGAACACTGATACATGCTGAGGAACCTGTCTGCAAAATCCAGTGAGTACAGGACCAAGAAATATTTAGCAACAAAGTGGAAATTTCTTAACACAATTGTCGTTGTGTGCATCCAAGGCCATACATGGCATGGAAGAGGCATGTGGATTGAGACACATGGACCAGCAGTGCACTCGTAAAATGTCTTCATGTATTTGTGTCACCCAGCAGGGCATTCAGATATTTGATTAAGCACAGGATCCAACAAAAGTATTCTAAGTGCAGAAGAAATTTAGGAGCTCTCTGTTATATAATATTCTTGACGTTATATTAGTTTGATTTACAAAATGAAATGCAGGTACAATTCAAGTTGATTCATTTTTAACGACATGTCCACACTATTTTGGAAAGAAAAAACACCATTATGTTAAGAAATTCACTGTTTTGATAGCAAAACAATCAAGGGAATTTTTTTAAACATATTCCATAATCAAGAGATCCAATCACCTAAACGTTAGTGTTACCACTTTCTGATAACAGCTACTTAGGGATTTCCGGTAGCATTTCCCACAACAGTGGTTCACACCGTTTGACTTATTTCACTTGTTATTTATACTCCTGATCTATATGCTTTACTGACTGAGTCACTCGGGTGTAAACTTTGCTTACCTAGAATCAGGCTAAGGGAGTATCCAATTGGTGCTTGAGCCCACGCTAGACCGTAATCCGGAACGTACACGGCTTCGGCCGTCCCATTGATGTAACCTCCTCCGACCCAGGTGGCTGAAACAGAGTGAGAAGTGAGGGGAAGACGTGTCATACCTGCCATCCCTGAGACCCACTCAGCCCCGCACGGTGGCCCTGAACACCAAGTGGCTGGTGACACAGCCACCGGAGACATGGCTTGTCTGAAGTGTTGGAAGAATGCAAAGGGCACATCGGATTTCAAAGACTTAGCATGGAAAAATAAATGTAAGGTTCCTCATTTTTGTTTTTGTAATGGTTACACGGCAAAAGAAAAACATTTTCCATGTACTGCGTTATGCAATTCTATTATTTACATTAATTCACCTATTTTTTAATGTTTTTTTAAACTGATATGTAGAAGATTTCAGATTAGATTTGCGGCTTACATCATATTTCCATTGAACAGTGTTGCCCCAGATATTTTCTAAATCCATTGTCATCAACATTTTAAAATGATATTATTATATCATAAAGTCTGAGACCACATACAATATATAATACTATATGACTACTCCTCAATAATACTATGATTTTTCCCCCAGCCTCCATAACATGGGGTCAAGTGTCTTCATTTCAAGGGCCTTTTGTTTTAATTGTATTGATCTTTCTCTTGATCATGACTGTTGTCTTCGAGGAGTGGGCGGGGTGTGTGTGTGTGCGTGTGCTTTTCACCAATAGAGTCACTCTGTAAGCATGCTGGGTGCGTAGGATTTTGGCAGATCTATTCTGAATTATAACGAAGTTGTACTCACTCCCTTAGGCTGTTAGGGAGTGGAGGGAGGTGGCTGCCAGGTGCCCTAACGTGAGCTTAAATTACCTTTTCCTTCTCTGTCATCCCAAGAACCCGACCTACACTTAGGGCTAGATCAGCCTTCAGGAGAATTTACAACATTGGCTGCATGCCCATTTGCAATTCTTTGTTCTGCTCCGGGTCTTTCAGTGAGATGCTTGATATTTCATAAAGAATAATAAGAAATATGTCTTCTTCAGATGTTATTTAATAACATTTCTGTAGCATAGTAGGTGAAGAGGGCCATGGAACCAAAGAAAAGACATTTTGATTAAACAAGTTTGGGCCAAGAATGCTCTGTAAACGCTATCATTTTCTCTGAGAAGACACTAGACTAGTTGATTCTTGCTGAAAAGCCAAAGTTACTGGAACACTCAGATCTTTGCAGTTTGTATCCTTTTAAGAGTATAGTCAAAACATTTAAAATAATCCCTAGGTAGAATTTGTGTCAAATTATGAGGAACAGAGGCTGGCGTGAAGCTTATCAAACATGAGAGTGAACTCTGGGCTGTACCATGCAGTGGGGAATAAAATTTGACTCTGAAAAGTCCCCTGAAATTTCGCGGTTAGAATGTAAGTAAAATAAATAACATGTACATGAAGCTGCCAAAGACAAGTGTTTCTATTGTGTTTCTCGCCAAAATTTATCAAAGCAAAGCAGAGAGAACGTTCAAGGGTTAATCTTATTTTTAAAAGTCAACGTGAAAAGACCTTCCTGCCAAGGAAATTTAAGTACATTTAAGTGGAGAGTTTATATACAAAATCCTCAAGTGGACAAATGCGTATTTAGCAACCACCCCGTCTTCACGGTAGCTTTTCCATGGTGTTGATATATAACAAATGCTATGATGTGCTTTTCTCATCCTAAACCCTGCTGAAATTTTAAAGACTCCCCCCACCCCTCACTGGGCGAGTAACCAGGGCCTGGAGCAGCGGATTCTCGCAGGCACAGCCCCTGAGACCTCACGTTCCGCCTGGCACCTGGGACCCTTGACTCCGCACCAGCAATGTTTTGCTGCATTAAGTAAATGTCTGATGGTCTTACAAGCACAACACTTACTAGCGATCATTTTTCATTGTGTAGGTCTCCTCTCCCTTTCCAGAAAGAAAACTGGTACCTGAATGATTGCAAATATTATAATATAGAAGTGCAGACTTGATTACTTATTATGACTAAAGCCCCTCCATTTTTATCCATCTGGTCCTTTGCATGTTTGTATATTTCATGTCAGATTCATGAGTGAGAACAAGAATTCTTTTAAATTATATGCATTTTTATTTTCAATCTTTAGTCTTTGTACAATCAATGAATCTGACAAGGTTTAGATAATATGGTTCAGATTTTAATTGAATTATGATATTGATCAGGGCTCTTTTCAGTTCTGAGAGAGAAAAAAAAAGTCTTTAAAAGCTGAGCTCGAGCAGCTTTATAAGAAATATCATAATTCAAATTTTTTCTATACATTTTAATAGCCTGTTAGATTAAAAATCACTCTAAATGACAAAAGATAAATTCTGAAATATTATCTTTACGGACATAATAAATGTACTATTAAATTAGAGTAATAGAACATGATCATAATTTACAATGAACAAAATACTTTGGTATACAACAGCTCATTTATTCTTTTCAACAGTTTGAGTGAAATCAAAAACTTCGTCCTTCTATTTTGCTTTTCTTCTTATTTTCTTTGTCAGAGGAGAAATCTGAAGGAACTATAATTACAGTGCTTTAATGCGGTTCAGATACGGTATCATATGTGGATCTTTAGAGGAAAGAAGGAATGTCTGTGCTCTAATGAAAACTGACAATGAAGGTATGAAGGTGTGTCTTCGTCAGCAGTTGGATACTAAGAGAAAAACCAAGAAAATCTACATGAACGTCTCGGTGAACATCTGCAGGTGGTAGGAAAGTGGGTGATTTTTATTCTTCATGTTTCTGTATTTTTCTAACTTTGTGTGTTGTGCATCACAGAAAATATTTTGCAAAACATTTCTTTTCTGCATATGTGTGTATGTAGAAAAAATTAGAAACAGAGGGTACAAGAGAGTTCTTTTTACCCTGGGTACCTTCACAAAGAAGTGGGGAGAGACCTGTGGAGGGCTGGGTGTGGTCACTGCAGGGGCCCCGGCATGGCTGCCAGACCTGGGTGTAGCCCTGGCTCTGACCCTTACTAAGCACGGGAGGCTGGGTCCTGACGTAACCAGAGCCCTTCCCTAGTGACGTCATGAAGATTGAACGGAACCATGTACAGCTGGTGAAGAGTTAAACTAACAAGATGTGAATATCTGAAAGGTAGAATCGATCGTCCATCAGTTATTCTACAACATTATAGGTTTCAGATGGCCAAACAGGGATGCAGTCTTCCCAGACTGGCTTGGAAAACTTTGTGATAAACAGGGTGAATCAATTTTCACCAGCACTTCAGGAATGAAATTTGACATCATCTCCATATGATTTGCAGTGGGGTACTTTTCCACTGAGCACTCCCCTCATATTAATCCACTGAGAGTTCCTGTTCGTATGGATTATGTCGCTAACATTTAAGAACTTACTGAGTCTAAAATGAGATGTGTGCTGTTAGTGAATACATATCAGGCGATATTACAGATATAATTTTAAATTGTTGTTTTTCAATATCATTTTCAACAACCGAGAAGAACACAAAAGAAAAACAAGCCACCACTTAATCATAACCACCTCTGGGCAAAGGAGGAAAGACTGCTCCTAGCACAGAGAGGCTTGAATGGGCAAGAGCTGCAGCTGGTAACTGAGGGATTCCTACTAGGACACACCCTGGCTTTTTTTCATTTCGTATCAATGTTCCTGAGAATGTTTTTCTCAGAGCCGTGGATTCATAACATGTGATCGTCTTCCTGTGAGTAAATTATTTCATTACATGGGAGAATAAGGTTTCAAAACAGGACATCCATCAATTTGGAACTGGGTTGCCCCCATGTTGATTTATTCAGTTTTAACTAGTTAGTTAAAATCACTAGTTAGTGTTCATTGGCTAGTTAGTATTCATTAAGACAAGTCAAAGTCACAGCTTTACGCCTGTCTCCATGAACAGGAGGGGATGCTGCTTGTACCACATTAATGCACAGAGACACAACTTGTAAGGCTAAGGCACTTCTGCACGTTCCTCCACCCCTTTGTTTTTACTGTCTCCACCCGCTCAACAGCCCAGATAGCCCAGATTTGTTTCACTGATATTCTGTCCAGTAATTGATTATAAAATCATTAGTTCCAGCGCTACTGAGTTGAAACCGTTTTAATTTTGTTCTAAATAAATGTAAAAAATTATTTTTTAAATATAAAAGTAGTGAACACGGAGAATCCCCCAAGGACAAAGAACAAGATTTGCTTTGTCCCTGGAGCAGCTAGGGTGGGATGGCTGCAGGGGTAGGCACGTCGGCACCCACCTGTCATGGTGAATCCGCCCACCAGCAGCCCGATGTCGCGGCCGCCCACAATGATGGCCTCGCTGCGCTCCCCCGAGCTGCCACTGTTCTTGGTTCTCCACGCGGCCCATATTCCAACCAGCAATATGAGAAGGTAGAACACCACGATGGCTATCAGCCCTTCCACCTGGAAAGTGCTGGCTCCTGACATCCTGTACCACTTAAAGAAGAACATTGAAGCCGCACGTTCACCTGTGGTTGCCAACAAGTGTCCTTTCCATCTATCTCTATTCAACAACTGAACCTTGTTTTGGGTTTGCAAGAAACAGAAAAAATTGGAGATGCTGTTTAAGGAATAATCATTTTGTGTTAAATAAGTTCGTGCAATGTAAAATTAACCTTGTCTTGTGTTTTAACTCAGTAACAGTCGAGAAATCACTTACAAACAGTGTGTCTGTATTTGCTTTTTGGAACTATGTACTTATTCAATCTAGAATTGCTCAGTAGTGTAAGTGTATCATAAAAGATTACTCTGAGAATTGACCCATATTCATTCATTCATTATCCTACCCCTCCTTTCAAACAACTTCAGGGAGTTGTTCCAGAAGTAATGTGACATGCAAATATCTGGGGGAAAAAATAACAACTTTAGGGAAATCCATTTCAGAACCACACGGCCTCCAATTTTCAACAAGTGAAGTGCCCGAGGTTTAAGTTACTGCAGCCACTGAAGAGTTGCGTTGTTTAAAGGGTCTCCCTCCCGATCAACTGTCCCCATCCACTGTCCTCCGTTCCTCCGATCTGTCCTCCACCCCCTTAATGGCACATACAAGAAAACGATTTAAAATACAGAAATGCCTAAAACATAATGGAACGTCAGAGGCACTAAAAACAAGACGCTTGGAAGAGACATGCCAAGTTCTAACGCCTTTACTTTCTGGAATTCTCTTGTTCTCTCTTATCTTCCCCGCCTGACCGCGTCTGTTCATGCTCCCCAATTTACACAAACAAGTTTCTGGGGGAAAACTCAGATATCTGCGCACGCAGGTGAGTGACAGACCTAGGGCGAAAGAACCAGCCCCCCCTGGGGTGCTGGGTAGGCGATGGGAGCCCCGGCGGCGGGTGGGGAGGTGGGGTGGGTTTTGCCTTTGCAGCCAGAGCCGGGAGGGACGGCTGCCCCTCCCGCGTCCCCGGTGCCCCTCCCGCGCCCTCGGTGTCCCTCCTGCGCCCCGCTGCCCCTCCCGCGCCCCTGGTGTCTCTCCCGCGCCCCAGTGTCCCTCCTGCGCCCCCGGTGTCCCCGCGTCTCCGGCGCCCCTACTACGCCCCGACTTAACAGCCGCTCGCGCTCGCACCCACACCCGCACCCGAGGACCCGGACCGCGGGACCCGCCCCGCCGGGCGTGCCCGCGGGAGGCCCAGAGCCGCGTCGGAGGGCTGGCCCCGACGCGCTCCTACCTGGAGAGGTCGCCGCGCAGGGAAGCGCTCCGCGGGTCCGGGCTCCTCTCGGGAACCGTGGAGGCCGAGGCTGCGCGGGACACGGGAGGGGTGATCAGGTGCGCAGGGCGGCAGGGCCAGGAGGGTCAGGCTCCGGAGACTCCGCACCCCGGGTCTCCCGGAACGCGGCGCGCGCGGAGCTGACAGGTGTGGGCGCGGCGAAGTGGCGATCGATCCGGTATTGGCCACAGACCCCTTTATAAGGGCGGCAGGCGGGCGATCGTCAGAGCCGGGGAGGCGGACGTCAGAGGAAAGTGCCCCGCGAGCCGGCGGGCGTGGGGCGCAGGGCGCAGGGGACGCGCCGGAGCCACCAGGCCGGGCTGGGCTCTGGGCTCCCGGCCAGCGGCCCGGCGGGGTCCCGGCCTGACGACACGGGCGCGGCGCTGCCACTCCCGCCCCCCTCCTCCTGGAAGCAGGGCGTGATTCCCCAGGGTCATGTCCAATGCCTACTTCCCACGACTCTGGTTGGAAGCAGGGAATGGGGAGACGGGGAGGGTCTCAGGAAGTTGTTTTCAGGTGCAGCCGCTGGAGGTGCAGCAGAGAGGAGGGGTCGAGGGGTTTTGTTTGCCCAGACCTGCGGGAACGGTTTCTTGAGGGGCCTCTCACTGGTGCTCAGGGGCTGCCTCCCTCCCGGGCCTCTGCTGGAGGCTCATTCTGGCTTCCCTGCAAGGTGTCCTCTGAAGGAGATATTTTGGGAAGGTTTCGAGAGTCATTTTTAAATTCATACCCTTTCCTCTTAAAAATGGGATCAAAATGAAAGACTGTAGGAGTCGTCCAAAACAGCAATGGAGGTAGCAGGTAAGCCAGACAAGGCTGAGCCGACAAGGTTGCTTGCCCACCGAAGTACGCTATTCCAGAGCTGCAAAATTTTGCTATATACGTTTTAAATATCTATCTACACCTAGACACCTATAGCTAACACCTACCTTATGTATCCACGGGTATAGTTGCATATCTGTAGCTATATTTACATCTAGTTATATTTATGTATCTATATAGATAGATACAGATATCTGTGTGTATTTCTGTAAGTGTGTGAGTGTAGGGGATGGAGAGAGAGAGAGAGAGAGAGAGAGAGAGAGAGAGTGAGCATGCCATAGAGCTACAGCCCCTCTGGCCGCTCTCTCACTCGGTCCCATATTCCACCAGCTGTGTCAGTGAATTAAACAGTGATATATGAAAATCTAGTAAAAGATCGAATTAATAAGAGTGTTCCTTAACTACTGTCCACCTCTCTCTGCACAAGATTTCAGATCATCCCCCGTTTTCTTACACTGGATTTGGAAATGAACTTTCACACTTATCTCGTTTTCTTTGTTCTCTGTATATACAATGACAGCATCCAACCACCTTGACTGAGATAAAGCCTACGGAGGTCAAACAGCTCAGATAGAGGAGAAGGGCCTGTGTGTGGTTACCTTGTCTGGTTTGTATGATTAGCTCACGGCTTTTCTGGAAAACAGTTGCATAGCCTGTCAATATAACTCCATTTTTACAGTTTTACATTTACATTAATTTAAGCAATTTTGAGAAACGGACTGAGGGAAGACAGAGGTGGAATTTCATATAATTACTCAAGTGCTTTTCGCAGAGATTCATTCATTCACTCATTCATTCGTTTTGTTTTTGACAGTTATAACTCAGTTTCTGCTTCTGGACATTGGCCACAGGTTAACTTCCGTCTTTCCTACCAGAATATACTTCAGGTGATGATGGCAGAAAGCGTGTGACTGTAGCAGGCCCGGCATGGGCAATGGCAGTGTGTGAAGTAGTGTCCACTGCTGAGGTCAGGAGGTAGACTCAAATCCAGGGAGGGACGAAATAGGAGGCTGTCCTCAGAGAAATATCGCCAGGGCTTTAAGGTATAAGCGTCGGGATGCAGCCAGGATGGGGGCTCTCTGTGGGGCCCACCTAATCCACTTTAAGAAGCTGGACTTGCCAGAGTCCAGATTCAGTGCCAGATCTGGGAGGTACAATGACCTTGAAGGTGGCCAAACAAATTCTGACCTGGCAGAGGAGCTGTCCTTTATGACAAAGAACACCAGTTGAAAACAACAACAGCTGACGTACTGTACTGAGTCTACTTCTGGGGAGACATTTGCTCATTTGCCGCGTCCTTTGAGCTCCTCCGCCCGACCTCAGGATGACGCTGCTTGTGAATTTCTGCTCCAGGACGTGCTCTCCCTGACACCCATTCCTCTTTTGTCTTCAATATGCATCATCTCTCTGTCCATGCTCCAGAGAATACGTGATCACGCATGCAGTTAGAGAAATTCATGTCAGTGGAAGATCAGTTGCAGCTTTGGTGGATAGAAAAGCAGGGATTGCCTTTCCAAATCATTCATTTACTTAATAGACATTTCCTAAGTGTCTTTTATGTTCCAAGCACTGTCCTGAGTACAGAGAAACATGCAGACTGTTATATAGCCTCTGCTCTTATGCAATTTATCATTAGTGAAAGGAAAGAAGGAAACAAGCAAAAGCTGTCCTCCAGTATTTTCTTATAAACACTGGGAAAGATGTATCATCTATACACACGGATTTCAGGGAAAACACAAACAAAAGGCCTTAAACAGAACAGGGTGTTCTCCCTGAAGGAGGGGAGCATTCATTCCACAAACACACGGTGAGCACCCACTATGCACCAGGAATTCTGCTCGGTGGTAGCTATATAGTCAAGTGACTTGAAGGAAAAGAGCCCTGTCCTCAGTGGGCTTACAGGCTGCGGCCTTGCTACTCAAAGTGTGGTCCTCAAAGCAATGTCACCAGCATCACCTTTTCTTTTTTTTTTTTTTTTTTTTTTTGCGGTACGCGGGCCTCTCACTGTCGTGGCCTCTGCCGTCGCGGAGCACAGGCTCTGGACGCGCAGGCTCAGTGGCCATGGCTCACGGGCACAGCCGCTCCATGGCATGTGGGATCCTCCCAGACCAGGGCACAAACCCGTGTCCCCTGCATCGGCAGGCGGACTCTCAACAACTGCGCCACCAGGGAAGCCCCGAGCAATAAAATATTTTTAATAAGGTGTCTATATTGTTTTTTAGATGCTTAGTTGGTTTTTTGCACACCTAATAGATTACAGTATGGAGTGAGCATAACTTTTATGCCCTGGGAAACCCAAAAAATTGTGTGACTGCCTTTACTGCAATATTTGCTTTATTGAGGTGGTCTGGAACCAAACCTGCAGTATCTCTGAGATGTGCCGGTACTGGATTTTGACGTTGATAACTAACACGTTTCTTATTGTAAATATAATTAAAAGCGTAATAGAGATTCACTGTCCGTATCCTAGGTATCGTCAGTAAGGATTTCGGAAATGGCTGGCAGTACGGGCCAGTTTTAAGCATTGCAGTCAGTAAGAGGTTGTAAATGTCAACAACACGGAGAGAAAGCAAGCTCTCATGTAGGAGAACACCAAACAAAAAATCTACAGTTACCATTATTCCAATACGGGAAAAATTAACATCATATGTTTTTTCGATGAATTTTTATTTTAGAATATTTTTAAATGACAGGAAACTTGTGAATAGATAAAAGAGTTCCCACGTATCCCACATTGCTTCCCCTATTGTCGATATTTTACATTAGTGTGGTAAGGTTGTCGCTCTGAACTAAAATACATTTTTGCTAACTCAAACCCATGGTTTATTCAGATACCCTTAGTCTCTACCCTCTCTGTCCAGGATACCGTATGACGTC